GTGTGGAAGGCCACGCGGTCGCGAAGCGCAGAGTGGAGTTACCAAAATATCGCCACGCCTCAGCATACTTCCTAGTCAGTTTTGAAAGGAGAAATTGGCGTGCTGCTGTAGGTGCTGTCCTTTTGAAATCGTACAGGGCAAATTCAGGGATCCGGGGAGAAGAACAAGCTTGTCTTCGAATGACCTTGGCGCAGTCCCTTTGATGATTCCAACAGAACTATTCCATCACATTCGTACTCTGTGCCAATGCCGTTTGTTTGTATCCAATCCAGGAAGCGATTTCCCAATGTTCAGGACACGTGGATGTGCCTTGACAGAAAGAAGAGGGCAGTGAATGAATACATTTGAGAAGAGCATCTAGAGCGGTTTAACTGGAATATACAATGAACAACGCAGACGTCGTCCTATAAAAGGTGAACGTGATGGCAGTTGTTGTCGAAGTAAAATGCTGTTTGTTCTCGCAGCACTGTGCCTGGTCATGGAGAGCGTCGGCGCTGATAGTGAGTGTAGCTATTTCTGTGTTGTGGTAACTCTTAGATTCTTTTGTGCTCATTGGAAGCTGACTTCCCATCGAAAATCGAAAAAGGACATTGTTTTTTCAGCATGGTGCCTCTCTTACCTCCCAGTGAATAAAGTGTATAGGGAGTTCCACCGGACGAACCCAAACCTGGTTGGTATTCTTGATCTCTCCTGCAGTTCACCTTTTCACTAAACAAGGGCAGAGGATCGGAATTGAACCACGGAGTACACAGACTTAGATGTTTTCTAATGAGCCGGAAAAGAAGTCAGTGTGCATCTCGCAGGGACTCCGATGGCTCCTCTTGTAATCCAACAAAATTTGCATTGGTTGATATAAGCCCCAAATCATTATTCGCTTACAGGAATGGAACAATGAGCTCGCGCAATTTGCATGTGACGAACTGAAACGTCGAGAGGAGCACCCCGCGAAATACAAGCTACTAGCCAAGATGTCAGTATTCGCTATCATACTATTTGATCTGAAGGCTTCAAAAAATGATGTTTATTAAGGGAATTTTCGGGCAAGCCGAACCCGTTCACTGTGCGAAGAACTCTCTTCAGAGGAACAACAAGCACCCAGAGGGAAGATGTGAGTTGCAATACTATTTTGACATAAGCCAAGGTGCTTGGCAAAAGATACGGTGCAGAGCGGTACAAGGAACTGATATTCGGACATCACGACGGCATGACAAACTTTCTACGTTGAAGAAGATATTCCTATCCACTCCAGTGCTTGCTCTGCACGGTAGTGTCAGCAGCGAGACTTTGACAACTGCAGACTCTTTCTCCTTATTTCAGCTGTGCCCAATTTCTTCCAAGATTTTCTTAGGTGACCATTCATAAGCCGGGCACGAAGTATGGATGTGACGCTTGGAACGAAGGAAACACCATGAAAGTCCTGTGCCTTTACAACTGAGTTCCTTTGCTGATGGGAGAACAATTTCAAATAAAGTTTCTCTGAGCGAGATGGTCTCGATCGTTTGGAAATTTTGACCCGAGCTCTTAAACATGCTTTCACGCCACACTGCGACAATGCATACAGAAGAACCTTGTAATGCCGTCCCATAAACCGGAGCAATACTCACATTCGGGCGAAAGTGAAATGCGCACCTCTGCTTCAGGGGAGAGTGAACGATACCGTGTGCGCCTTTTCCAGTCGCTGTTCACAGCTTCAGAAATCGATGCTTTTCTTATATGAACTTCGAGAACGTAACGCACTCGTTTGCGACTCCTCAAGTCGAGTGCAAACACATGCTTTCTTGCCAAATCTGAGATTTCGATACGTAGATTCAACAATAGATTACCGATTTTGTGAAATGTGTCTAAGATTGCGATAGTTTATTTGATAAAATATGAGCTCTTCATTGATAGTGAAACTAGTAATACTGAACAACACATGAACGTAGACGCGAAGCACCCAATCCATTCAGCTATTCATGATTTTCTGCATTGTCGCATAGAAAAGTGGTTGACGGAGCCTCTGCGAACTTCTATGATAAATATGCGAGGGCAGCAGATGGGAGAAAGATTTCTTGCAAAAAAAAGCTATTTGGAACTGGTGCTTTCGAACGTGGCATTATCCTTCACTCATCCCCCGCAGAATCAGTGATGTGCTGAAACATAGAAACACCACTTCCACATGTCATCATATAATCCAGTCTGGCTATCTCTGCGCGCAGGGTTGAACCTATGTTACTGATACTTGACAGGATTTCTAGCAGTACACTTAGCCTAATTCCTATGTTTCCAAAACGGCCCATTTCATCATGTTTCTCCCTTTTAATGAACACTTGCCAATGTTAGGCTCATATCATATTTCTAAAATCACCATTCGTTGGAAATCGGACAGCATAGCGGTTGGAAGGATTCCGATGGTAAAAATATCGAAATCACAGTGGCTCTTATCATTCCTCACTGGGCAACAACTCCAAACATCCTTTTTTCGGGGAACTCGAGCGTTTAGCGGTGGAAGCAATTCCGACCGCTAAACTGAGGGATTTTGCTAAGGGAAAACATCTTGACTCATTAAGAATTCGCT